GATGGGTTAAGCTTTAACTTAAGGCACAGGGGAAGAGAAACCGAGTGAAAAAGCATAAAATTGTTGTGGACAAGTGGGTTTAGCTCAAACGTGTCGCCGCAAGGATCACGTATGTTAAGCTGGTTAGGGCTCCGTTCATATTCAATCTCATCGTTGTGTTTGCCACTCTTTTGGCCAATAATCTGCCAGCACCACTCATTACTAGAAGGCCAGTTGGGGACGGTTCACCAATCACTATAACCATATTCTGCAAACCAAAATTCTACGCGGTATTAATTTAATGGTAAGTAGGGGTACCTAGGACTGGTAGTCTGGCATCTTTAGCATCATATAAAAGTAGATAATGTGACGTTTTGCTACATCCGTTGCACTTGTTTTGGTGCGCCCAGGAGGGATTAGCATCTTTCTTTTCGGGTGGATTGAAACTTAGGCATAACCAACTATGCTTTGCGTGCCAACGAGCCAATCTGCGTGCAGGATATTCCGTGTCATAGTCAGCCATTGCCCCATGCTTTGTTGCGCCCAACCAGCAACCAGTGCTTTATGTGTGTCACCATTCCCATTCATGTATAAAGTATTAATCGTTTTGATTCATTAATTCTTATAATTTTACTTTATAAAAATATTTCACAAGTTAAAATTTATGTAAATATTTAAATATTTAATTTCACTATGATATGTCATTTTTTAAAAATTGTAACATCTTTTTCAATATAAAGCTTACAACTCTTATATAAAACTGTGACGAAAAGAGAAAAAATTTGCTAATGTTTCAGGTTCTTGTTTCATTGGTCTGAAAGGGTCTAGCCTTGCCCTTTATCGCACAAAGACATTGGTGATTGTTCGAACTACTTTGTCTTTTAATGCGAGGGTGTTAAGGAAACCACAACTATCTGTTCTTTCTTCTCTGCCTATGGTGACCACTTGTAAAGTCAACATGAAATAGTCCTTTAATGCGAGGGTGTTAAGCAAACCACAACTATGTGCGCTCTCTTTTCTGCCTATGGCGAACACTTGTAAAGTCAACATGAAATAGTTTGCGTGCCATGCCACTCTTAAACTTTTCCTTTGATAGGAAGAAGTCTTCACTTCAACCTCCCATTAGAGTTGAAAGGCTCTATCCATATGATTTGTGGCAGTTTGATAAAGGCTTACAGCCAATGAATTTGAGTTTAACCTGCGGAAAAAGATTAATTGTAGAATAGTTGCACAAAGAATTGGATAGTTTAAGAGTTTGTAGAAATTTGATCATTCAGAGTTGAGTTCATATGCCACAGAAAACAGTTCCATCGACCATCTTCCTACCATCACCCCAGCATACACCATAATGGTAAAGAATAACAAATGAAAAGAATAATGTGACACCAAATGTGATTGCACGTTGCACAAGTAAAAGGAGACACAATTCTGACTCCGTCCAAGACTCGTGGCAGTTGAAGAGTGTAGATTACCGGTGCTTAAAGCTCATAGTGGCATAATCGTTCTATGCCATAATGGCATGAACTGCATAAACACTATCAGTCCCCAAAAGGGTTTGTCTTGGTTTTGATGTTAAACGTGTCAAGCTGTTGAAAGCGTTTTGAGTATGGTTGAATTGTTACTCACAGCAATGGGCCTGGTGCTCTTTCTGCAACTTTTCCCAAAGGCATAACACCATCCTCGGGCCTTGATAGTGTGCAAGAATGTAATTTGACTCACATCCGGTATTGTGGAATCTCTCATCAGTGATATAATGCACTTCTCGACCACTATTTTTGAATTCTTCAATCCATATACCCATTGCAACATCTTCTAGTTTGAAAAGCTGCCAAGGCATAAAGGTTAGAAAATAATTTGAAGAGACAAAAAAAAGGAAGCTTATTAAACTGATAGAATGATGAAGACCCTTCTATGGATACGCAGTCCTTGGTCCTTCCTCAAAGATATGTCAGACATCCAAAGTAAATGATAAATATAACTCTACATAGCCTAATGTTTCCATTGTAATTGCACTAACAGAGATTGAATTGTTGTTCAAGTTGTTTACTGAATTCCTGAGATCGAATCATTGAGCATATATTTTGATAAGTTACATTACCCAAAGGCATCTTCAAGAATCTCAAATCCACAAAGTGAGATCAGGCATTCCTTTTGCGGATTACCTCCCATTCCCCAAACAGATCTTATAATTAATGCTCGTGGTAGTCAGCAAAGTTGCTCATGCTCTTTGCAAGCAAGTAAAATTTACCTTGAGTTCTCTTTCCTGGTGGCCTCGGACAATGAATTTTGCAATGTCTCGAGAGATAATATAACCTGGACCATGGGCCCATGGTGGATATGAAGAATGCGGCCATTCCTGTGGAAAAAGTACTCATTAGCAGTGAGCCCAAAGGGGATCAACATATGATTAAAGTTTGACTGAGACAAATACCTCGTTACTGATGTACCATTTGCTGTCTTTATCCCTTTGAGGAGATGAATCGAATGCTATAAGGCCATATAACAGGCCATCAGATGCCTTTCCCTTGAGGCTGGAGAGAACTTCATCAATCCTGACAAAGGCATCGTCATCTGTTTTCATGATATATTTTGCAGGGAGGATTTTAGTCTGCATGTTTGATTGAAAGAAAAATGAAAACAGAGATATCAATTAGTCAATGTAGAATTTATAGCCATGAATGTAAGACATCAAGAGCAGAGACTTCCTTGCCCACTTCAGGATATGGTGAATCATAAAATCACTAGGTCCTAGCACATCCACAGACAAAACAAAAGAGAGATGCTTTCTTAAGATATTAGTTTTATTCACTACAGTTTTAGTAGCTTCATTATAACCAGCATAAACTCCTCTATTAAAGCCACAAAAATTACACTTTCTTAGTGCGTCTTTCAGCCTTTTTCTATTGCTTCATGCTATCAATCCTATGACTGCATACTGACACAATCAAAGACAGAAATATGCCTTTAAGATCTACACACAAATTAGGACTTATATCTGAAGGTCAAAGAAAAGACTATAGTCATAACTTTCTATGCTTAATGTATGCATCAACTTACCCCCATAATGCAAATTGCAAAAGTTTTCAAACTGATCAGACTATAGTAATCAACAAAGGGCATGAATTGGATGTCTCCATATGCTTGAGCTTCTTTCCACAGCTCAAAGTTGACTTGTCTATTCTTATTCTGCAGGTACAAAAAATATTATAACAATCAGCAAACAGTTTTGTATGCAGTCAAAACTGTTATATAAAACACTTTAGAAGAATGAGTCATGTATCTGAGTGCCACTACAGCCAAGTTAGCTGATCCATACGCATATAGGCCATTCTTAATTCAAGAACATGAAGGAGAATGTGATTGTTATCTTGATAGGATAGAATTGTGCCTAAACCATCAAGTTTTCACTCACAAGGCCAATGAAAAACCGAACTGCTACATCCCCAGAGCGTACAGCCTCAAATTGCATCCAAGATCTTCTCAGTGCCATACGACGCTCAAAATTATTTCCAGTGGAGAAGACCCCAATCAACATTTGAAGTCTTTTCCTAGAAACTGCAGGAGCTTTAAGAAGCCTGGACTTAACTATTAAATCATGGTCTTCAGGAACAGGCAAGCCTTTGGCGAAGGCAGATAAGAGATCCAAACCACCTGCCACTTTGACTCCACTAACTGACCATGGTTCAAGTTTCTGCATGTGTAGAGATTGGACAGCGTCTGAGTGATTACTCCTATCCAAATAGGACAATTTGAAGAACATACCTGCTTTGCATTTTAATATTAGTTGTATATAAACTCATACCTTACCTCCCTGTATGCAAATGATGTTTCATGTCTTCCATTTACAGTCATATGAAACCCCTCTAAACCAACCCATAAGGTGGCAGTGAATGGGTTCCCTTCAATGAATGGGAAATTAGCACTTGCATGGCTGCTTGCATGGGAAGCATTTGTCAAGGCATTACCACTAGAAAGACTAACATTCTGATTTTCTTCCATAAGGCCTCTGACAAGTTGTTCATTGCAAAGACCAAGTCCATCAACTGTAACATGTGCTTAGATATATTAGGTAACTACAAACAAGATTCTTTCTATAAATAAAAGGAGCAACAGATATTACAACGAACGAAGATGGTTAGAGAAGGGGAAGTGGTACTGGAGTATTGTAGAACTACATTAGCAAGGAAAACACGCATGAAATGAAATTGTTTTAACATGCCCATTGATACTTTTTTTTCCTGCTAGGAATGATAGTGACTAGAAGGTAACTCAGATTGTTGAACATGAAATGTACCCTTTTCAGCCTCCAAATCTTTCCAACTAATTTTCAGAATAACACTTATGATGTCATAGTATCAAATCCATTTAGATGATGCTGTAGACAGAATGATCAAATCAAGAAAGAGTTAAACACAGAGTAAATAATAGGTGGATAAATTCTTGTAAGAACTGTATCTTACAGTCAATATGAAGCAGTACATATTATTTATAAAGAACCAGCATGCACAGAAACAGGACCATACAAACTAACATCAGATAATCCAAAATGTGAGCCAAGAACTGTTAAGAAATATATACCTTTTAAATTATTTGAAGATACATGAGCAGGACACCTTTCCTCCTTTCCCCAGCCAAGTTCATTAGTCCATGTATTTTGAACAATAAATGGCTCTTCTGTCATATTATCTCCGACAACACTGACATTGTAATGCAATATAACAGAAGGCTTTGGTTCCCCAGAAAAGTTTGATCCTGCAAGCTCAATTTCAAAACTCCTATAGCCCCCAGTAGGGATCCCAATCACTGTGATGGATGAATCCTCAACTAGACCACAAGGCAACTCGAGTATATTTCCACCACTGAACAATGTCTTGTCAAGGTTGCTAACAGAGAAAGGGCAGTTTTTCTCTTTTAGTCTGATATTATGACTGGTAGTTTTCTCTTCCTCAATCACAGCAAGTAATTCTTTCCATGCTATAGCAGCCTCTTTGATCCCCTGACCAGTTTCAGGTAACGCATCAGACCTTGACAATAGCAAGCGCATATGTGGCCACAAAAGCAAGGCCTTTGAATCCTCAGAAATATTTGTTGGAGCATACAAATCATTGAGCCCTTCAACATCGATAAGTTTGGGTTTCTTCATTAAGGCTAATTTCTTCACTTCCACGTTGGGAGATT